AAAAAAAAAAAAAAAAAAAAAAATGTTTTAAAGTATGTATTATTTTTTCAATATTAGATATTTATATAATATATTCAAATCTAGGAGTGTTCAGGGTATAGGAGTCAGTACAAGACATCCTGAGAATGGAAATTACAGCCAGACTGTTGGATCTGAATTGTGAATCTGCGACTTACTAGCTGTGTGACCTTGGGTCACTTGCTTTTAACTTCTCTCTGCTTCAGTTTCTTCCTCCATCAAAAAGATAATTACAATTCCTGCTTCACAGCACTTACTTCATGCACAGTGATCAAAAAATTGCCTTCATATTTTTAAGAAAACACTTGTAGAATATACTGGTTAGGGACTTCAAGGAAGGAGAAAAACATTAACAATCTGGAGTTATTACATAAGGATAAGACATAAATAGAGAAGCAAGCCATAGACCCTAGGACAGATACTGGAATCATTAAATGTTTAAAACTAAACGGATGCAAAAAACCCAAAAAACAAATGAGCAAACAGACAAAACCAAAACTGAACAGATGTTTGAACATCCACAGCTCTGGAACAAAATAAGCAATCCAGTAAGTGGTTCTCATGGTTCTCTAAACACCAAGTTATGAATCACCTTTTATTTCCAATGACAAGTACAAAAAATGACTTGCCAAGTAAAACCAATCTCATAACCTGTCAATCAAACAGGAAGGCATCGCTGCATTATGAATCTGATCCCTTGTTTCTGTAAGTAACATGGGCGTTGCCGTGTGTCCTCGCTGCAGCAGTTAGTAAACACTTTGTGAAGCGTCTCCTAGACAATAACACGTCTCATTTCTTTGGGGGGCTTGGGAATGATACTGCTGGATACACACATGGCTTTGGACTTAATACCGTTACTAATGATAAATAATCCAACACTTCTTGAGTACCTACTAGGAGGTTAGGCACTGTGCAAGGTGTTATGGGGATCAAAAACATATTGTAGACCATGGCAAAGTGAAATTAAAAAATCACCTCAAGGGGCACCTGGGTGGCTCAGTGGGTTAAAGCCTCTGCCTTCGGCTCAGGTCATGATCCCAGGGTCCTGGGATCGAACCCCACGTCGGGCTCTCTGCTCGCCAGGGAACTTGCTTCCCCCTCTCTCTCTCTCTGCCTACCTCTCTGCCTACTTGTGATTTCTGTCAAATAAACAAATAAAAAATCTTTAAAAAAAAAAAAAAATCACCTCAAATCCCTTCAGGAAAGGCATAGTCCTCTAACCCCCAGAAAGATGGCTGGACACGTTCATAGAACACGGAGCATGAAATGCCTGTGCCAGGCTCTCCTGTGTGACTCTAGAAGGGCTTGGAGATAACTTAGCATTCCAGAAGAAATGCCAGGGAAGGATCAGGTCCTGCTGCTCGCCTTACAGAGAGCCTGGCACAGCATATGAGTAATGAGTAGAAAAACATACACATGAGAAAATCACAACCAGGCAATGGCGACAGCACTTAATTTCTTGTTAGCAGTCAGAGAACACGCCTCAACCATGCTCCTTCATAGTGAATTAAAATAAATCTAGACCCGAGTGTTTACTTTGTAGCAGAGCTGGGATAAATATACGCAGCTCCTGGACTCCAGGAGTTCGTGCTGCAGGAGAGAGAGGCATACACGGCACATACCGTGGAGGTACAGGAATGGACACATGCACAGCATTATTCATCTCCTGATTCAACAATATGGAAGCCTATACCTTGCAAGCCCCAGAAATACAATGGTGACCAAAAAGGGGTCTTTCCCCATGGGTCCATGAATTAAGGCACAAGACAGACATTAAAATAACAATCACGGGGCACCTGGGTGACTCAGTCGTTGAGCTTCTGCCTTCAGCTCAGGTCATGATCCCAGGGTCCTAGGATTGAGCCCCATATCAGGCTCCCAGCTCAGCGGGAAGCCTGCATCTCCCTCTCCCACTCCCCCTGCTTCTGTTCCTGCCCTCGCTGTCTCTCAAATAAATAAAATCTTTAAAAAAATAAAATAAAATAACAATCACATTAGTGAATCAGTAAACTGAGATAAATTTTGTAAAGGAACATGAATCTATGAGAGGTAAAATGAAGGGATCTGGCTAAATGGTCACAGGGGATAAGAATGAATATGGAGAGTCATGGGAAGAAGATGTCAAGGATGAAGTTCAGATTGTAGAAATGGGTGGCTGATGGAGCCATTGCTTCTTGAAAAAAAAATACCGAGCCCGGAGATCTAAATGGATATGATAATAAGCAGGCAAGTGACTCTGGTTATGGAACTCAGAAGGCATGGATGGGATGAGACCTAAAGTTGGCCATTGCTGGCATAGCAAAGACAATGCAAGTTACAAGTTTACATGACATTGCCTAGAGAGAGAATATGGAGGGAAGAGAAATGACCTAGAACAGGTCTTAAGAAGCTTCATTAATTAATGGACACACAAGAGGAATGCAGCTAAGGGATAGGATGTGTCGTGGGGAAATATCATGCAAATCCAGTGATATTAACAAATGTTCACACCTCCTGTTTATACTTACAGTATATTCCATAGTACCATGGGGCTTCTGAACCACCATCTTCTTCTCTTTTTTATCATGTGTTTTGTTTTGATTGTCATCTGAAGAATAAAATGTATATAAATGAATAATTTCATTCTCAGGGATCGAGGATAGGGTAATCTACAGTACATTAAAACCCACTTTCAAGGGGCCTCTGGGTGGCTCAGTTGGTCGGGCAACTGCCTTCGGCTTGGGTCATGATCCTGGAGTCCCAGGATCGAGACCCGCATCAGGCTCCCTGCTCTGTGGAGAGTCTGCTTCTCCCTCTGACCCTCACCCCCCAATGGTCTCCTCTCGTTCTCTCTCAAATAAATAAATAATAAATAAATAAATAAAATCTTTAAAAATAAATAAAACCCACTTTCAGGATGTTTGGCTGGCTCAGTCAGTAGAGCATGAGACTCTGTTCTCAGGGTTGAGAGTTCAAGCCCCACAGTGAGTATAGAGATTATTTAAAAATTAAATCTTCAAAAACAACACAACACTTTCAAATTGACTGAAAAAAAAAAAAGAGAGACACAACTAGAAAAATGGACTACAGGCACAAATAGACCATACTCTTAAAAAAAAATACTATTCATCAATGAACACTTGAATAAATTATTTATGTTAACTATAATCAAATAGTACAAATAACAATGAGGCAATGTTTTAGAGTTATTGATGTAATGGTTTAAACGATAATATATAATGATACCATTAAACTAGTATACTTATGATATACATGAGGCATCATGTAAATCAACACCATCCTTTTATTTTTTGTTTTTTTCATTATGAAGTAAAAATAACAGTGAATCAACAGTTACTCAATTATTACTCAATGCTCACCATACAATGTTATTACACTATTACTGATTATATTCCTTATATTGTACTTTTCATTTCCATGACTTATTTATCTTATACCTGGAAGTCTGTACCTCTTAATCCCTTTCAACTATTTCACCCATCCTCTCTACCTCCCCTCTGGCAACTACTGATTTGTTCTCTGTATTTAAGAGTCTGTTTCATTTGTTCATTTGTTTTTAAGATTCTACATATAAGTGGAATCATATGGTATTTGTTTTTCTCTGTCTGATTTACTGCACTTAGCATAATACCCTCTAGGTCTATCCATGTTGTCACAAACGGCAAGACTGCATTACTTTTTATGGCTGAGTAAAATTATACATACACACATACATACTCTGTCTCTCTCTCCCTGTGTGTGTGTGTGTGTGTGTGTGTGTGTGTGTGTGTGAGACACAGTCACATCTTTATCCATTCATCAATGGATACTTGGGCTGCTTCCATATCTTGGCTATTATAAATAGTGCTACAATGTATCTTTTTGACTTAGTGTTTTCATTTTCTTTGAGTAAATACTCAGTAATGGAATTACTGGATCATCTGGTATTTCTACTTTTAATTTCTTGAGGAAGCTCCATACTGTTTTCCACAGTGGTTGCACCAATTTACATTCCCACCAACAACGCACAAGGATTTCCAGCCCTTTTAGAAAGCGATTTATCAATATGTACCAACAGCCATAGAAATGTTCATTCTTTGATTCAGTAATCCTTCCCTTAGGGATTTATCCTAAGCAAAAAATCCAAAGAGGAAAACTACCATATATCATAACATACGATTTGTGCAATACTATTTATAATATTGAAAATCTGGGAAGACCAATATGCCCAACAACATATTGTAAGTTGGGCCACAGACTTTGCCGTTTTTATAGGTCAAAATAGGTCAACCTAAGGTTTAGCAGCTGCATTATGATTTAAAATAATTCTCATGGTTAAATACATCCTTATATAATCAGCCCAGATATTGAAAACCAGAGAGACATACTGCAAAGGATAACAATTTAAGTGACAAAGAAATATACAACTGAATTAAGGACATGAAAAGATGCTCTAACCTGTATGTGATCAGAAAAATGCAAACTAAGATGAGGTATCATTTCCCAGCTATTAGCATGGCAAAAATCAGAAAGTTGGATAATTTTAGTGTCGGCAAAGATGTGAACTGCTACTAGGAATGTAAGCTGGTATAACCATTGCAGCAAATTAAATCTGTACAGCCCTTATGACTCAGCAATCTGACAGACATACATCCTCTCCCAGGAGGTATATACTTTATAGATATCAGAAAGTCACTTGCTGGAGGATGTACCGGACAGCCTCATCGGTGGCAGCACGAAGCTGGAGGGCAAGCAAAATTTAGTAGACATGCTCTGGAATTCTAGGCAGTAATTAGAAATAACAAGCCAGAAGTATACACTGTTGTGTGTTTACATCAGAGAAAAAGAAGGGGATATACAGAACAATACCATGAGGTATATTTAAAACAGAGGCACTCAGAGGAAGTACACATTTTTCAAGGTCACATCCAAATACGAGTCTACACACCAAACACAGCAGGATGTGTGCGGTAGGGAGAGAAATGGGAGGGGGGAATGAGGATACAAGGAAATAAATAAATAAATAACGAGGAGCCCAGCTCGGCCGGTGATGATATGCCATGAACTAAGAAGATTAGCTCTGTGCTCTACATCAGGGGTCCCACAACGTCCCACAGTACACGCGGATCAACAAGATCACCGCATCCACATGACAAATAGGAGTGTACTGAGAACTGGAAGGTAACACAACAACATGAAAGAGTTAATTCATGTGGTACTGATCTGCCTTTTAAATATTTCCTTTATATTAATATTAAAAACCAAGAAAAAAGGAAGAGGTGCTGTCATTAGAGTTCCTTTCCAGTCATTTCTATGTTCAATCGGATCCTTTTACAGAACCAAAGAGACTCTGGAAATTCCTCCAGACTATAAAGTGACCCCCCTACCCTCAGGTGGCCACATGTAAATTACTTCAGGAGGATGAGACAGACAGTGTTTTCTTAGATCTCCAGATCTCTAGATTCTGTAGGTAGGGAGAATTTACACAGCCCGATGAAAAACCCAATCATAATACTTCATGACTCTTGTGATCTGGTATCCCATCCTTTTAATATGTCAGCTCTACTCTCTGGCCCACACTTCTGCCCTTCTCTTGTCATTACAAACAGCTGTCACTGTAGCTGCTCCTGCTTTCAGAACAGGCCCTTCCCACCTTTTTGTAAGCGCTTCCCATTTCTAGAACCTATCCTCTTCCCATCTGTGGCAGCTTCCAGTCCACGCCTGCACATCAATTGCATAATTATTTCTGGTCCCAGTGGATCCCTGTTAGCCACCAAACCATGAGTTTCCATACTGCTCAGCTGCAAAAGAAAAACAGGTGCTTGCTGAACCTTTCAGGATAAAGTGAACTTGTATACCTGAATTAGTACAAAAATTACTTCTCCTTTGTCACAGGTGGGTAGGCCAGAAAAAATGTCAAACATAGTAACATTATAAATAAAGGAGGGGGAAAAAAAAGCCTTCCCTCCAGAATCTAAGATTTTGAAACTCTTGAGGTAAGGACCATGATGTCTACCCACCTTTGGACATCTTGTGCCTTAATATGATTCCCCGAATGTATGATCAAACGAACTTCCCAATACAGGTCCATGAGCCTGACAAGGTAGATTACTGGCAACATCGTCACTGACAGAACATCGCACCAGGAATATCATATGAACCTATCAAAGCCACAAGCCATTTTTACAACTGACCCAAAACAGACAGCAAAGAACTGTCTGATCCCAAGGACCTAATTCAATTGTCTTCACAACGTAATAGCACAAGGCAGGGTGTCTGGGTGGCTCAGTCAGCCTTCGGCCCAGGTCGCAAACTCAGGGACCTCGGATCCAGTCCTGCATCGGGCTCCCTGCTTGGTGGGTTGTCTGCTTCTCCCTCTGCGCCTCACCCTGCTCGTGCTCTCTCTCTCTCTCTCCGTCTCAAATAATCTTTTTCTTTTTATAACAGCATAGGGTGAAGGTTCATATGGCTTCCTAGGGGTTTTTTTTTGGGGGGGGGGTGGTCGTGGTTAAGTTTTAAAGATGGCCAGTGCATGTCTCCGTAAGTTAAGGCCTGAGTACCTTACCTAGACAGGCTCTGCAGCACATAGCCCATGAAGCCTGGGAGAGGTTTCTGGCCCTAAGTAGAGCTGAGAAGAGACAGCAGCAGCCTTGAGCAAGGACTACTCGGCCTCGAGGCAGGATGGAGCTCCATCTCCAGTGTTTCTGGGGAGGGCCCATCACCACCTACAAGGACGGAGGACTCTCCCAGTGTCAGAGTCACATCCAGCGTCAGCCTCCTCAGACCCTTATATCTACACACATTTGGACCTTCCCCTGCTCAGGAGAACCTGGAACAAATGATGGAATAGTATTTACTGCCAGAGGGGAGACCTGGCCAGATGTTCCTCAGAAACTATGAGAGCAAAGCAGCCGAACCTCCGGCCTGCCCCGCCTCAGGAAAAAACCTCTTCAGAGGCCATGTTCTGGAGCCTAGTAAGGAAGAACTGTGATAAAACTGACAAGACCCCTAGATGAGAGAAATGCAGGCCCTTAGCCCATCCCGTCTCATTTCTCATAAATTGCAGATGTGGGGCTACCTGCCTGGCCCCCGGTCCTGCCTCCTCTCTCCCACCCCAGAGGAGGGCCGGGAGTGTCCCCAACACAAGGCTTCTGGCCCATGCATCTGAGATTCTAGAAATAAGTTTCTGTTCTTTTCTTTTCTTTTTTTTTTTTTTTAAAGATTTCATTCATTTATTTGTCAGAGAGAGAGAGCACACACAAGCAGGCAGGGTGTCTGGCAGAGGCAGCAAGAGAAGCAGGTCCTTCAATGAGCAAGGAGCCCAATGCGGGACTCGATTCCAGGACCCCAGGTTCACGACCCGAGCCAAAGGCAGCAGCCCAACCAACTGAGCCACCCAGGCGTCCCTAGACATAAGTTTCTTGAAAGTAGACTCCTCTCTCCCCGAGCACTGGGGCTAAACGCAGTGGGCATTCGGGAGACTGTCCAGGGCCCACAGGGGCGCGAAGGCTGGATGTGAAGCAATCCTTTGCCGCCGTGGTCTGTGAAGTCTTGGATGGGGTTACAGCTGCCGCAGGAATGCATTCTTAGAGGACCCGAGGTTTGAGG